TTTTAGGCTACGCGCGTTGCGCATGTACCCGTCTTAATAAGTACATAACTTTAAAAATCACATTAATATTATATTAACGAATAGTATTTGAACAATAAAATAGTTGAGGGAGAAAAAGTAAGTTCCTAAAAAATAATTATTTTTGTCCTATATAGCTAATTTAACGAAGAAAGAATCCGTGACACATAGGTCCTTAATCCTCTTGGTCAACATATTCAACTAAAAGTTTATTCCATCTTTATAATTTCATTAGTATTTCAAAAAAAAATCATGCTTCTTTTTTAATTTTAGTACGAACACATAAACACTTGAAGATTTAAGAGTTTTTTATGATTTTTTTTAAAGGTGCACGTTTTTAAATTCATTCTATAAACACAATCAAGGTCAACTAACTAACAAAAATCTTTTTTTCATCGAGAGGATAATATAAATTCTTCTATTTCTTTAATTAATAAAAATACTATAAGAACCGTAAAATAACTCAAAAAACATAAATAAATTTTGAGAGTTTGGCCAAGCCCAATGACCTCATTAAGGTGCAGATGTATTTTAGATCCTTATAAATTATTACTGAATTTATATTATAAGATTGTATATATTTTGTGGCATTTATATTCCTAGCATCTACAAGTAATGAGGCCAATCACATCTCTTTCGTATTCTTCAGCCACTGTCACCATCCAAATTCATTAAAAGTCGTCAGGTCAGCCAACATTAAATAGTTAATTAAATTCTCCTTTTATATTTTTGAAATCATAAAGTTTTCTTCAATTTCACTAGTAACAGATGAACTTTACAAAATAAATAAAAAAGTTTACCATTTCATTACTGAACATCCCATCATCATCCTAGAATCTGGTGTCACAAGTGCATAAGCAATTACTAAGAAATAAAATAAAATACAACAACTGTTCGGAATACAAATTGGACAGAAAAGAAAATACAAATACTCTAAAGGAGACTTTGCTGGCTGCGGATCGTCTCATAAGATGCAGCTCACCTAAGTTTCTGTATCAACCATGCCGCCGCGCCCACGAGGCCACTAGACATACATATGCCTGAAATGTACAGCAAGTGTAGTATGAGTATGAAAACAACGCGTACTCAGTAAGTATCCAGTCTAACCTCGAAGAAGTAGTGACGAGGGGTCGACTTCGATACTTACTAGTGGTCCAATAATAACATGTGCAGTAAAGAAGTGAATAAATATGAAACAAAGTAATTATAAGAAACAAACGAGTATAAAATATGTGGTACAATTCCTCTCTTTACAATTTACTCAAGCTCTCAACTAGCAAGTTCCCTCCATAATCGGAGCATATATATAGATACAGTGGATTTCATCAAAAAGGTTGTCATAATTCAAATCAGGAAAAAACCCTCAGATATACTGGCTTCTTGCCAAATATTAGGCATTTCCTATAGGAAATGCCGAGGCGTACGGCCTGATCCAACATAAAAGTAAACTGTGCACTGCCGAGAGTCGAACGGCGCGAAACATAGATGCATCTATTAACCTACCGAGGCGATCGGCCCGCTCTCATGAGAGTGGTAGAAGGAGTTACCCCGCTCGCGAATCATACTTGCGACGCTGTCAAGTATAAGTTTAAGAAATTATCCCGCTCGCGGATCATACATGCGATGCGGTTACACATAGATTTTTTAAGTTATTAAAGTATTCCTCAATTCTTTTTAAATTACGAATTTCAAATGAAAACTTTTAAGTTCCCAACCTTTCCTCAATTTCGACTCCTTTCAAAAACATTTAATAAGCTAACTCAATCTTGCTTCTTCTCAAGGCAAACAATAAACATAAATCAATAACAATATCAACAAAGCATGATGTAAGCTTAAAACTATCCGGACATGGGCATAGCCAGTAACTACATACAGACTCTCGTCACCTCGTGCGTGTAGGCCCCATAAATAGAAGCACATAATAATTTAGTTCACCTATGGGGTTAATTCCCTCTTACAAGGTTAAAAAGGAGACTTACCTTGCTCCGAAGTTCTATAACCGACTCCCAAGCCCTTCCGACGACTCAAACCGATGCCCAATGCTCCAAAACTAGTCAATAATTATGCAAATCCGTTAATATATACTCAAATACCCATTATAATTCTATTTACAATAATTTCTAACTTCGCTTGAAAAGTTGATAAAACCATCCTCGGGCCCACCTGCTCGGATTCCGAAATTTTTTTAAGAAAAACTTTACCCATAACACCACGAACTCAAATATATAATTTATTCCAAGTTTCATGTCCAATTTCGTGGTCAAAATCCAAAAATATAAATTTCTACGTTTTTCTTCAAAACCCCCAAATTTTCACTGATTTTCCGTGTTAAAATCTAGATATAATCCAAGTAATTAACTTGCAATAGGTGGAATCACTTACCTTGACATAAATGATGAAAATGGAGCTCCAAAATCGCTCCTAGGTCGTCTTCCATGGAGGAAATGATATGAAATGAGCCAAACCCATTTTTGCAAACTTATACACTGCCAGGCAACCCTTCTTCGCGTTCGCGATGAAAGAAATTCTCGAAAGCCATTCCCAAACTCTTCTTAAACAACCTCTGGTATAATGGTCATAACTTTTTGTACAAAACCCCATATGACAAATGGTTTAACTTTTTGAAAACTAGACACAAAGGGCTACAACTTTCATTTTTGGATTATCTCCAAATTCCTTATAGATCGCGAGATATGAGCCTCTAAATTCAAACCTGTGCAACAGAGATTTCCTTCTTCGCTAACGCGAAGAACAAAATCCCAGAAGCCAAATCCTTCTTCCCGAATGCGAGAGTATCCTCGAGAACGTGAAGAACAACACCAGATATCAGATTTTGCATCCAAAGTAGCCCAAAATGATCTGAAACACACCCGAGGCCCCTGGGACCCCGTCCAATCACACCAACATGTCCCAAAACATGACACGAACTTGCTCGAGGCCTCAAATCACATCAAACAAACATCGAAACCATGAATCGCACCCCAATTCAAGCTTAATGAACTTTAGAACTTCAAACTTCTACATTCGATGTCGAAACCTATCAAATCACATCCGATTGACCTCAAATTTTGCACACAAGTGACATTCGATATTACGGACCTACTCCAACTTTCGGAATTGGAATCCGACCCCTATATCAAAAAGTCCGCTTCCGGTCAAACTTCTCAAAAATCTTCAAATTTCTAACTTTCATCAAATGACCCCAAAATGACCTACGGACCTCCGAATCCACTTTCGGGCGCGCTCTTTACACCAGAATTACCATACGAAGCTATTCCCAGACTCGAAATTCCAAACGGACATCAATAACATTGAAATGCACTACAACCCAAATTTATGAAATTCTTCCAAAATGCCAACTTCTACAATAGGCGTTGATACGCTCACGGGTTATCCAAAACCCGATCTGGACATACGCGCAAGTCCAAAATCATCATACGAACCTATTGGAACCTTCAAATCCCGATTCCAAGGTCGTTTACTCAAAAATCAAACTTTAGTCAATTCTTTCAACTTAAAGCTTCCGAAATGAGAATTTTCTCCAAATCAACTCCGAACTTCCCGAAATTCAATTCCGACCATGCGTGCAAATCATAATGCCTGATGTGAAGCTACTTATGGCCTCAAACTGCTGAACGATGCGCTAGAGTTCAAAACGACCGATCGGGTCGTTACAGCCACGCACACTACCAACTATACCAAATTTATTATATATTTCTCTAAGAAGTTTAATTGTTCTATTTTTAAATATTTAAGGCTCATTGTTTCTAATTTCATGTAATTGCTTTTTATTTTTATAAAATAACAAATTATATGTCCACGGAAAATAAACATTCTAATTTGTTATATTTTTCTCCATGAAATTTGATTGCGCAATTCTAGAATATTTAAGGCTCATTATTTGTTTAACTTCATGTAGTTACTTGTTTTTATACATAAGTTCTTCATAAAACTGCAAATTATATGCTCACGAAAAATAAATATTTTAACTTTTAAATTACTTGCTTGAATTGATAGCTATGTACAAAACAAGAACTTTTGTTACTACAGAACTGAAGAACGTATATTATTACAAAATTTCAAAAATAATTTAAAAGTCAGAAAGTTCACCTCAAAACAAAAGCAATTTTACCTTCCCAGACCTCAACACTATCAAGAATTTTTGATAAAAAATATGAAATATTGCCTTATGTTATAGAAGTATTCAGCTCCTCCTTTTTCTAAATGACTTTAGTTTCAAAATTCTAGTTTAAGAAGTGTAAAACAATATAGGTTGATGAAAGCAATGTCCAACCATAAAACTAAAAGAGAACGTTTATGTAAAATAAAATTGGGTATTAATTTATTTTATTTTTTTACACTCTTGGAATATTAAAGAATGAGTTTCCTACTTACTATATTTATTCGTCCTTTTTAACCTATACATATTTACCTTTTAATATGTATATTAAATAATGAGTTTCTACTTATTGTCTTATTCTTTTCCTTTATAACATTCCGTTTTTACGTTCTGTCATTAGGGATATTAATTGCGAAAGAGTTTCCTTTTTATTTTACGGCAACCTTTTCTCAAAAGAATAAATATTTATTTGTATTTATCATTTTATCCAACATAAAGTACACTAAGAGGGAATAAAAAGGTGAACAATATTTCGCTAAGATTCTTCGTGATTTTAATATAGTATAGATATAGATATAGATATAGATATAGATATAGATATAGATGACCTGCTGAAATATTACACCTAAATGATATAAATTAAAATGGTACAACAATTAGACCGTAACTCCGATCATTGAGGCAAGACATTCGCCCTGTGTTGGGTTCCCTGATATTTGAAGCAGTAAAAGAAAAGAAAAAAACTGACCACCTCTCCAAGAAAAATACGAGAAACCACTACCTTGTTCTTCAATCAACATTTTCCTACCTTTTCGAATCTGAACATACCGACTTTTATTCTTACATATATATTCCTCATCTTAACCATTAGCCATCACCATTTTCCTCTGCATTACTTCTCTCACTACCATTTTAACCTTTCCTTTTTCATCAAAAATTCATAACATGGACGGCTCAGTAGCCAAAGGCACGTCCTGTATCCAAGATTCTCAATCTTCTTCTGTTATCGCGAACACCGATGCCACTCTCGGGCGCCATTTGGCACGTAGGCTAGTTGAAATTGGCATTCAAGATGTTTTCTCAGTGCCTGGTGATTTCAATCTCACACTTCTTGATCACCTCATTGCTGAACCAAGGCTCAAGAATATTGGCTGTTGCAATGAACTCAATGCTGGATATGCTGCTGATGGCTATGCACGAGCTCGCGGAGTTGGTGCATGTGTTGTCACGTTTACTGTTGGTGGGCTCAGTGTGCTTAATGCAATAGCTGGTGCTTACAGTGAAAACCTACCTGTTATTTGCATTGTGGGAGGTCCTAATACAAATGATTATGGAACTAATAGAATACTGCATCATACCATTGGATTGCCTGATTTCAGCCAAGAATTAAGATGTTTTCAGACTGTTACATGTTATCAGGTATCTGATCTAGCTTTTAATTTGAACCCCCGTGCTTAAATCTTACAAAATTCATACTTAGCTTCCGTTTGAGTTTAATTTCTATATACGGATAGTGTAAAAGTACTCTTACGGTCACCTAAAAGATAATTGTCCCTAATAAGTGATACTATTAACTTGGTAAATGAGGCAAATAGGTTAAAATATTCTATTAGTGGAATTTTTTCTAAACTGTGAGCGTATATATAATTGTCTTTCCCATCGTTTTGTATTGCTTTTCCGTCGAAGTTGCTAAATGTTAGCTTCCTAAATAATCCTAGCATGAGTTTGTATGAAACATGATACAGTATCATTAGTGGTGCAGATATCTAATCACATCATCATGTGTTTTCAAGACTAATAATCTAATTCTCTTGCAATGTTGGAAATTTGTAATGAAAGGTAGAATTGAATGTTTATACATAAGCTAATCATAAGCAGTAAATATATAATGGGAGAAATCTAGCCATGGGCGAGACTCATCTTAAAGACTTTTAGGTCCTATATGTGAAAGTTGAATAATTCTTTTCCAATAGAAATACAATACCTTACATATCCAACAATTTTTATGTTTTCTTGTTTGCTTTTGTGTTAGGCCGTTGTAAACAACTTGGATGATGCACATGAACAAATTGATAGAGCCATTTCCACTGCTCTAAAAGAAAGCAAACCAGTATACATCAGTATAAGTTGCAATTTGCCAGCCATTCCTCATCCAACTTTCAGCAGGGATCCCATCCCATTTTCTCTTTCACCTAGGTATGAGCATTACCTTATTATCTATTTTTTATAGTGTCGGGTCTAGACTAGAAGCAACAGGTTCGACATAACTCATTGTGTTTAGCTCGGACTATATAAGTGCGTGTGAAAAAAATTAACGAGCAGATCTCAGCTGACTCTAAATCCTAGATTCGCCACTGCTGCATGAGATCTCTTCTTCAACTTATAATCAGAACTCAACAGTGTCAGATCTAGACTAGACGCAGCGAGTATATATGTGTGTGAAAAAAAATATAAAGAGCAGAACCCACTGATAAGTCAAGGATCTGCTACTGCTGCATGAGAAAATGTTCTGTAACTTACAATCCTAAATTACTGATACAGGCTAAGTAACAAGAGGGGATTGGAAGCTGCAGTGGATGCAGCAGTTACCTTTCTAAGCAAGGCAGTGAAACCAGTTATGATTGGAGGGCCAAAGCTAAGAGTAGCCAAAGCTTGTGATGCTTTTGTTGAATTGGCTGATTCTTCTGGTTATGCAATGGCAGTGATGCCTTCCGCAAAAGGGCTAGTCGCAGAACAACACCCTCACTTCATTGGCACTTACTGGGGTGCAGTAGGCACATCCTATTGCGCAGAAATTGTTGAATCAGCTGATGCTTACTTGTTTGCTGGTCCAATCTTTAACGACTACAGCTCTGTTGGATATTCACTTCTGATCAAGAAAGAGAAATCGATCATCGTGCAGCCTGATAGAGTTGTAATTGGCAATGGACCAGCTTTTGGTTGTGTCCTAATGAAAGATTTCCTATCTGAACTAGCAAAGAAAATAAAGAAAAATGAAACTGCTTATGAAAACTATCGTCGGATATTTGTGCCTGAAGGAACACCTCTAAAATCAGAGCCTAATGAACCACTAAGAGTAAATGTTCTGTTCCAGCATATACAGAAGATGCTTTCAGATGAAACAGCAGTGATTGCTGAGACAGGGGATTCTTGGTTCAATTGCCAGAAGCTTAAGTTACCAGAAGGATGTGGGTATGTGACTAATAACAGCTTATCAGCCTGGTATCCATTTTATTTACAGACATTAGAAGAAAAAAGTTCGTGTTGCAGGTATGAATTCCAGATGCAATATGGCTCCATTGGTTGGTCTGTTGGTGCTACCTTGGGCTATGCGCAATCTGTACCTAAAAAACGTGTCATATCTTGCATCGGTGATGGAAGTTTTCAGGTACTAAACGAAAAACACTTTCTTGGAAAATGACTTCCGTCATTACCAAAAACACCCAATATGTTAGTACAACAATATTACTGTGTAGAACTAAATGGTATTTGGATCACAGGTTACTGCACAAGACGTGTCAACAATGATCCGTTGTGAGCAAAAGAGCATAATTTTCTTGATTAATAATGGTGGTTACACAATTGAGGTTGAAATCCATGACGGGCCATACAATGTGATCAAGAACTGGAACTACACTGGCTTAGTGGATGCTATTCACAATGGTGAAGGCAATTGCTGGACCATGAAGGTGAGTGTTATTGTATAGAAATACGCATCCATACATTGACAAATACGCCATTGTTTTCAAATTGTTTCTGACTGGATTGCAGGTAAGGACTGAAGAGGAGCTCACAGAAGCAATTGCAACTGCAACTGGAGAGAAGAAGGATTGTTTATGCTTCATTGAAGTTATTGTTCACAAGGATGATACTAGCAAAGAGCTGCTTGAATGGGGTTCCAGGGTGTGTTCCGCCAACGGCCGTCCACCAAACCCTCAATGAGTCAAGAGTCTGGTTTTATCTTATCTAGAATGATAACCGCGTTGTTGAGGCCAGCTTGCACGCACCCGAGCTAGCTCTTTCTTCATTGCCTCAAAGAGAGTATTAGATCTCTTTCAAGTTTCGAGTGATTAGAAAGCTGTTTACCATTTAATAAAATGGATTTTTGGAACTATTAGCTCTATTTGCTATAGTTTCACTCGGTTTATTAAACATTCTACTCAGTGTTCCTGGTCATGCTAAAAGAAAACGAGGCTTTTCATATTTACATTAAATTTAAAATTTGACATTTTAAACAGTTAACTAGCTACGATGAAACTACACAATTGACAAATTGCCTGTGAAATTCGAATCTCTATTTCTCTCTGAATCGTATAGCTATCTTCAAACATTTGAAATTAGCCTTGAATTCTAAATAGCAGACCGCCATATGGTCAATTAGAAAGCATCTTATTAAATTTCCCTTTAAATCAAGTGCCATCCTCAGATACATCTTTGTACAAAATCTCTTTCACCTTGCAGATCTTATGCCTAATGGAATATAAAACGAGTGGAGTAGAACCACCAAGGAAGAGGTCAGAAAATTTCTGCAATATTTACTCTTCAGCATAAAAGATTTTGGATCCTAAATTACAGGGTTAACGCAGTGCAGACACCACCAATCACTAGACAGAAAGGGCTTAAGATTGTTTGGCATTTGCTTACAAAAATGTTCAACTGTTTTAAACTATGAGATGAAATTAAGGCATTATATTAGGTCCTGAAAATGACAAAGCAATGCATAAAATAGATCAAGTCAAAACCATTCGAGGCACCTACAAAACTCCCAGATCATCATGTCCTAGAAGAAGTAAACTTTTCGTTGCTGAAAAAATGGACTAGAGGAGAAAGTAGGATTTTATCCAAATTTTGGAGTCCAAATCCAATCCCCATTTATCCACCAACATATAAACATTTTGACGATATCGCACTGCTCCCACCAGTGCCACGAATACGATCACGCACAACTACACTACTTTTTTGCTTGGACAATCTCTCATGCATAGCTTAAATAAAAAAGCCAAGAATCCAACAGTCGTAATTTTCAATAAAAAAGCCAATTTTCAAAATATTACATGGACGCCGAGAACCTAAACTAGAGATGCAGCAAAAAACTTGATTTGACAATACAACCATCTTAATTCACACTGCTGTGGAAATTGCCAGATATTCATAACACAAAATTAGCAGGCGAATGGAGACCACTAGAGGCTGTAAAGATAAAAAGGGTTACGAAGAACAAAATAAAATAAATCGGGTGAAGATTACTAAATTGAGGAGTAAATATCATAAAAGAAAAGCGAAAATGGCTATCAGAGTTTCAATATACCTCAAAAGCAGTACATTAGGTGCCATTAGCAAAAAAAACACTAGAGAAATTAACTGCAAAGTTCTGAAAAAGGAAACAAAAAGACGCAATAACCTAAGGCAAAAGAAGATACGCCAAAAGCTAAGAATGCTGAGGCGTGCGGAAAAGGCTTTTACTTAGATCTCTGCCTCATCTTTCGGCGCTTCCTCTTCAACCTCCTCATACGCTTCTTCTTCCACTGAAGATCAAAAAATGCGACCACTCATAAAGTGAGTATTAAAACATTACTGAAACTAACTAGAAACGTACACACACTAATTTCGCACACATTTTCATCAATCAGTAAGTAGTTCTACGTGTTATTCTGCATCGATCGACTTAAATCTAGATTCATCTGTATAAACATGCGAAATAACTAACAAAAAGTGCGAAAAAAATAAAGTGAATATTAAAACATTACTGAACAACACTAACTAGAAACGTACACACACAGAGACACTAATTTCGCACACTCTGTCATAAATCATTAGTCGTTGCAGTGTTATTCTGCATCGACCGACTTAAAATTCAAGATTCATCCGCATACAAATGCGAAAAGAAACAAACAAAACAAAAAACAAAAGAAGAGATGGGCACGTCCACGCACCTTAGCTCTCATGGTGAATCAGCTACGACTTAAGGGACTGCTCTTTACTTCCTGACCAGAACGAACCTGTCAATTGATGAAGAGGATACGGCACTAAATAAAGGGAATGGAGGGCTGGTGGAATACAAAGGAAACCCTAGAGTAGTGTGATTGGGCTTTGGGTCTTTGATTCCGCTACGATTAATGGGCCCAACCCGCGGTCCAAAAGTCCAAACCTGCGACGATTAGATTGTACTCTTTTTTGGTAAAAATTGCACGGGCGCCCCCTTTTTAACCTGTTTTGTCTTACTATTTGCACCCGTACTCATTTTTTTGTTAAAAGTCTTTTAAAAAGACTATTTTGCCCTTCTTCATTAAAAAACTACTTTCTCTCCAAGTATACGATGGTCATTTACTGTCTCTCTCTCCCGTTATTCGTGTTTTTTGATTTGTTCTTTTCTGAAATCAAAGGGTTTTCGTTGTTGTTTTGATTTTTCAACTGCTATTCGTCATTGTTCTCACATTACGATTTAATCACATGTACATTGCATTAATTTCTGGGTTTTATTTTACGATTTTCTGTGTTTTTTTCTGGTTTTGGTTTTGATAGTCATGTATTTATGATTAAATAGTTTCTTAGTGTTTAGTTTGATATGTGCATTAGTTTTACTTTTACGATTGTGTTTCTAGGTTTTTTGAACGAGTTTTTATGTTGTTGATGAAAATTCTATAAATTCTTCAGTGATTAGACGTCCAAATTTTAAAAAAAAAAATTGAGAGTTAAATAGATGATACTATTAAAGTGATGATACCTCAGATAGGAGCTAAAGTTTTTTTTTCATGTTTTGGCATTATTTTTGGATTTGAATTTGTGTTTTGTTTTTTGTAAA